TTTATTTTTATTTTTAATTTATTTTTTGAATATTTAATCACTTTTCTTTTAAAGGGAGTTACGGGAAAACTTTCACATGGAAGAACATGTGCAATTATGGGACCATCTGGTAAATTATTGACAAAAATATTGAAATCGATATGTTAATAGTGATATGGATTTATTTGTTTGCATTTAACATTAATACAGATGATTGAATGATTGCTAATTAGGTGCGGGTAAAACTACTTTTGTGTCACTTTTGACTGGCAAGGCAAAGCGAACAAGTGGCCAAGTAAAAGGTAGTTTTTTTTTTAAAAAAAAACAAGAATTTTGATTTTAGGATTTTAGACAATTATATTTATTTATAAGCTTATCAATAATTCATTATAGTAAATGGCGTAGTTGAACCACTGGAAAAATATCGAAAACTTATTGGTTTCGTACCTCAAGAGGGTATACATTCTATCTGTTTGAATTTTCAATTACTATATATATATACTGTATATATTAATGTTTTAGTTTAATTAAATTTATAGATGTGATGCTTCGCGAATTAACTGTACGCGACATATTAGTGGTATGTTATTACGTAATACAATATTGACAATTTAATGATTTTATTATATATTAACGTTAAAGGCTATTTCACATACAATAATAGCATTCCGCATTAATGAGGTTACCAAGTGATATGGATAGAGCAGCAAAGAAGCAAAAAGTCATTGAAGTGATTCAATTTTTAGAACTGAGTCATGTGATGGAGTCGATAATCGGAAACGAAGGTAAATAACAATTTAATTATTTTCGATATAATTAAATAAATTCGATAGTATATTTATAAAACTCGTCAATAGAACAACGTGGCATTTCTGGTGGTCAACGCAAACGTGTAAACATTGGAATGGAATTAGTTGCTGAGCCATCCGTGCTTTTTTTGGTAATAATTAATTCTCTCACTCACTATTTAAATCTGGTATTTTTACCAAAGATGTAATCATTTTTAGGATGAGCCAACTTCAGGATTGGATTCAGCTACAGCACTTGAAGTATGTAATTTGTTGAAAAAGATTGCACATAGTCAAGGATTAACAGTAGCCGCGGTTATTCATTCACCATCTCCACAAGCCTTTAAAACATTTGATGACTTTTTATTATTGGGCAAAGGGGGAAGGATTGTATATTTTGGTCCGACAAATGATGCATTGGAATATTTTGAGAGTCTTGGTTTCCGTTGTCCAGAAGAAGAAAAGTATTTGTCAATTAATTACCGTTACAAATAGGGATAGGAAGTTCGGTTTGGTTTTGGTTTAGTTTGATTAAATTCTGATATATGTAGTTAAAACCAAACTAAACCAAACTATAAAGTCTTAAATAACCAGTTTAAAAATCTAATATAAACTGGTTTAGTTTATATAAACTAAATAAATATTGCAATTTTTTATTTGCCCTTGCATCATCATGCATATTTATATACAAATATGCATGTTTATATGAGTTTATGCAGGGAGTACATATAAATATTTAAGGAGTATATAAAAATGCAATATTTATAATTTATATTTAAACTACATTTAAACTTTTTAAAAACCTAAATCAGGTTTATAAAATAAACTATTTTTAAACAAGTTTAAACTGGTATTTAAAAAAAACTTCCCATCCCTAGTTACAAATCATTGATGTTAAAACATGAATAGTTTTGTAAAATATTATGTTTAATCCAAAACAAATACAGCCCAGCTGATTTTATGATGGAAGTGGCAGCTGGAAAAGTCAAGCCAGTTGATCGACAAGACATTACAGTTTCTGATTTATTTGAAGCATGGGAGAGATATCATGAATCAGGAAAGGCAACACTTTCACATGATACAAAACTTGGGATCCCTGAAGAAGCCAAGCCCACTCGTCGCAACTGTTTTAAATTACTTTATTCTGAAATCTGTTTACCGTTTATTCACGTAATTCAAGATATTTGCATATATATAGCAGATGTAACCATGGAGTTTTACTGGTTTCTTGGACGTACATTGTGCTTTTGTCAACGAGATCCAATTCGAGAAACACCCAATGTATTTGTTGCATTTATATTGTTATTTAAAAGAGCTTGTGTACAACTTTATAGAAACAGAGCACAATTTTTGTTGGATCAACTATTACATCTTGGATGCGGAATTTTTATTTCTTTGGCAGTTAGCAATCTAGGATACATTGGGAAGGCACCTAGAGAGATATGCGAGATTACGCCATTTATTCTTATACCTATTTGTTTGCAAGCTAAGGATTCACTTCAGGTAATTCTTTTTTAAAATATATATAATTGCAAAATTTTATTCATAATTTTTTTCATGTTTTTTTATATATATATATCTATATATATATTTTAGAACGTTGGAGTATTCATGTCACTCGGAGTGACATTTGCGGGGATTAGTGGTACGTAAATTAATAAATCAAAACATAATCAGGGTAACATAATAAAGATCACTAATTTCGGATTTTTTTATGGGTCTATATTTAAATATTAAACTAAATTTACATATTTTGGCACAAGTATCTAACGAAAGTGCATATAATTTTTTTTTTAATTTAAGTTCACGGCTAGCTCTACATGGTAATATTTAAATAAGTTTATAAAAAAATTGTAACAATTAATTACATAATTAATAATCAAATATTTATAATAATTGAATGATTTTGATAAATTATTTAAAAAAATAGCTTTATCACTATGTAGAGCTAGTTGAGAGCTTCAAATTAAAAAATTTTTATGCTCTTTTGTTAGGTACTTGTGCTAAAAAAAATATAAATTTAGTTCTACAATTATTTTTATAATCATATATATATATATAGTATTAACGATAATATCATTAATAAATCCGACATTAATGATCTTATGTTTGTTTGATTTTATTAGCTGAGGTGCAACCCTAACGTAGAGTATCTTTATTTACTTAAAAAAAACTTTGGGCAAATTTATCAATTCATAATTTTCCTTTTTTATTTTTTTATTTTTAATACATAGCTGGAGGTTCAACATTTGGATATGAAAAAGTAGTTTATTGGCGAGACACAGCAGCAGGAATGCACACAGTTCCATATTTTCTAGCAAAAATAGTAGCAGATATTCCTCGATTACTCGTTGCAGCACTTATGTTTTCATTAGCATTTATTATTTTTTATCCGTTTAGATCCGAATTTTGGCAAATTTATATTATTGTTTTGTTTACGTATATCGCAGCGTGGGCGATGGGTAAGTTTCACCAAATTAAAACAAGTTGACAGACTTTCTTGAATAATTTTTTTTTTTTTTTTGTGATTAACTTTCGATTAGGGTATTTTATATCTTGAATAATTTTTTTTGTGATTACCTTTTCGATTAGGGTATTTTGTATCAGGGTTGGTTTCAAAGGAGAAACTGAGTTTGGTTGGAACAGGGTTTGCACTCGCTTGGGGTATGGTATTGAGTGGTGCAACACCTAAGTTAGAAGATGTTGCGTCAGGTGGTACATTTACCTATATAGGATGGTTATGGGATGTAAGTATTTACGTGTCTTATACGTATTTTTTGAAAAGTTTTTTACTTGAGCTATTTCATCTAGGTTTCAGCACAAAGGTGGGCAGTTGAAGCATTATATCTTAAAGAATTAGAGCCTAGAATGTAAGTATTATTTAACATATTTTTTTTGAATAATTGAGTAATTGAATATAACCTAATTTGATGTTTTTACAGATGGACTGAAATTAAGACCGAACAACTTGGACACACATACAGTTTTAAGGATTATCCACAATGTTTATGGAATATTTTATTTATTGCACTTGGATGGGCTGTGCTTGCATTTTTGGCTATGAAGTTAACTCACAGAGATAAACAAAAATAAACTAATACGTAGAAACTAATAGAAAATAGAATAGTAATTGTGAAAAAGTAATAATAATAATTTATCATCATGAGGAACTTTTGGATTATAAACTTTTTTCACTAGATTGATGATTGATAAATTAAATATTATCATATTAAATATGAACTTTTTATTTTGAGCTTTGTTGTCTTCAGCACAATTTTAACTATGATCATTGAGAGTTTGGAATCTTAATTACTAAAATATAAGTTCAAACCTCTGGTTTTAATAAAAATTAAAAATGAATAAATATTTTTAATAATCTTATTAATAAGTTAAACATTGAATGTATATGCTTACTATTGTTATTGTTTAATAAATATATTTTTTTCTCTTATAATAAATTATTTTTTGTTATTTTAAAATTAAAAAAGTATCTATATAACATGAAAATTTTTTTTTCTCAACCAACGCCATATCAACATGATTTGAGTGCGTGAGAGTGAAAACCTGGAAATAGATTTAATGATTTACTATGATTGGTTACAGGTTTTCACTCTCACACACTCATTTATGGAGGAATATATATGTTGTAAGTGGAAGCGGAATTAAGTGGAAACGGAATTTTTATATAAACCCAGCATTTTGGGGTTGATTTTATCATATATACACCCTTACCCTAACCCTAATTTAACTTGGAAATCCGAATCCACTTAATTTTATTCCCACTTACAACATATGTATGTATTGAGATTACAGTATTGCGATGAATGTAAATCAGAAGAATATATTCTGAAAAATAGTAATCAGTATCAACCGATTTTTAAAGCTCGCTGAGCCGTGATGACGTCTATTTATTGAATCTGACACAAATACACCCTGGAATTAATCATGAGACTGCCACGTACAAATGCTAATAGATCTAATTAGTTTTAGTAAAAATATTAGTTCTAGTAGATATATTAGCTCTATTCAGATATATTAAGAAATACTAGATATATTAGTTTTATTAGAAATAGTAGAAATACTAGATATAGTATAACTAGTAGATATGATAACAAGAAATCATAATTCTTTGAAATATATAAAATGCCTCGATTTCTCTCTACAAAATCATAAGTCAACACCTCAACAATAAATAAAGAGTAATTGTGTCTTCATACACGAATACCTCAAGTACTTTATTGAATAAATCATAAACTCGTTTACACGACTACTTGTATCTTCATATACATTTAGCCGTTTGACTCTTTCGTAATTGCAAATCACATAATCCGCTTAGAGCGTAACTGCAATAAACCCTATACTTTACTTAAGCATAACACGGTATTTGTTATCTACCGTTTATCAAATTCGTCGCTAAAGTAAATTAGTTATACCGAACTGATAAGAGGTAGTCTCGGGTGTAACAATACGTACGTACGCATTTCTTAAACATTTATTTTTAAAACAGACCAATCATATTAAGTCGTATATTCAAATCGTAGATATTTACTTTAATAATTATACCGTGTTAAGGGATGATTTTTTTTACGTGACTGTAAACACATTCGCGTTAATATGTTTATACATATATACGTACGTATAAACCCCTCCATTCGTCTCAATTCGTCCTTCTCCTCACTGAGGCATGCATTTAGCGTATTGTTTGGGGGTAAATACGGCATTAACTGGACAATTCCACAGTCTTTCTGCAGGTATGCGGCCGATAAAGTTTTTAAGACGCACTGTTAGGTAAAGCACTGCTTCGTTATTTATATTACATTGACTATGTGAACTGATAACAAAATTTATTTTTCTTAAGACATGCCTTGACAATATTTTAACATTGTTCACTCGGACTAGGATCATTAAGATTTTTTAAGAGACGATAGAGTTTATTTTAAACTATATATATTGAATATCAAGTAGATTCGACAAAGAATTTATGCTTTGAGTTTGACGTCCATAAAATTAAGGGGAAATAATTACAAATAAAGGCCTGAAGTGAAAATAAGGGCCAAATCTTGAAACATTTTACAATTAAGGGCCAAAATAACCTTGTATTATGATGATAAATTTTGAACGTTATCACTGTATATACGTGTGTATTATTTTATACATTATATATATATTTTATACTATATATATTAATGAAGCTTTTTGTTAACCAAGAGACAATTCAACTAGATCAAGCATGATATTTATCAATGTTTAACATAACTCACCTTCTATTTGAGCCTTAGATGATATGAGGTAAATAAAATCACTTTTAATATAAAACTTATGACTGTTCAAAAGAAAGTTTTTAGTCAATTATTAATTGTTATGTTAATCGAAGATCTTCTAGATCATCTAAAGCGAAGCAGAATTCCGTGATATCTGAAAACAAGACAGAGAAAAACCTGAAAAATACAAAAACGGCAGTCTAAACCTATCTTGGATGGGTTAAGTAAAAATATCGGGAAAACAATTAGGGGTCTGCAAATGCCCGTGCTGGCACATAGGCACCATGCCGGGCGCCAGTGCCTCGTGCCGTGCCAATGCCTATGGGTACAAAGGCACCAGGCAATTTTAGGCCGGCACTTTTGTGCCGTGCCCACAAAGATGTAAAGTTTTATTTACGTAAGTTTAGACCATTTTTATGTTAGGTAATTCGTGCCTATAGGTGCCTGTGGGCACAAAAGTGCCAATAAAAACTTTACGGCACGAAGTGAAAATAGTTACGGGCACAGAGTGCCAGCAGTAAAAATGCCGGGCACGAGGCACGTGCCGGGTATGCAGAACCCTAAAAACAATGTTGCGTATATAACTACCTAAAACCTAGCCTAGCCCTAAAGTTAGTTCAATAAAATATATATTATAAGAATATACTCCGCTTTAGACGTCCCCAATATTTAGAACTGTCATTAACTGTCGTTAAGAAATAATGCAATACTGATTAAAAGGTAATATGTATCAAACAAAAAATATATATACAGTATGAGTGTTGTCAAAAGAAAACCTATAACTCTAAAAATAGATTACTATGATTTTCATAATAATCTATTTTTAGGTTTTCTTTTGACAACACTCATATATTTATTAAGTTTATAATTTTAAATGCTAAAACTTTCAATCTAACTAGTTACGATAAATTTGGATCCTTGATTGTAATATTTTCAAAATTTGGGCCCTTATATGTAACTATTTTAACTTTGGACCCTTATTTGTGATTATTTTCATTTTTTGGGCCCTTATATGTAATTTCCTCTAAAATTAATTGTTCGATGTATTGTTATTAAGGTTTACGAACGTACGTTCTTCATAATATCTAATAAACTATTTGTATCTCTGCAAAGTTTAAGTGCGAATGCATACAAATACAAAAAAACTATATACTCTTGATATTCTAAGTATCGGCCTAATAGTTACAACTACAACCTAATAAATTATAAATATCTCCGATTTGTAATGAATCGATCAAAATCGGATGATTTTTTTTTTAATCCAAAATTTAATCAACAGATCTAAGTTATATCTATATCGATATTGTTTATTTACATCGATATCGATATGGCACATCAGGTGGTTAAAAAGAAATTGATATCGATATATAACAATAATAAAGTTAAAATGTGAGCTAGTACTTTATTATCACTACTGTACTATTGATTACGTATTTAATATCATTATTCCGACGACACAATTTTATGCAACTATTCAAAAGTACAATTTATTATCTAATAAACTTTGACTTTTTGATAAAAAGATTCATGATATCTTTAAGTCAATCAATATTTTTAAATCAAAGATTCAATTGAAGTACGAGAATGTGATGATGTCGTCATATAAAATAAGTTAAGGATTATAAAGATAACTTTCTAAGCCTGCCTATTTCATTATAGAAAAACCATGATTTTGAGTTTTCTATATTTTACGGATTTTAATAAAGTCATCAAATTCCCATTTGGCGCATTTACATCTTCACAATACTATTTATTCAAATATCAATCAGTATTGTTTTTTTTTTTTTTAAAAAAAAAAATTTCTTTCTACGTGAAAAAATAATTATTGAAAATAATTGTCGAAAATAATTAAAAAAAAATAATTACTGATTCATTACAAACTTTACATGTCTGAAAAATTTTCTCTTCTTGTTATTTATTTTCAATTACTTCCACACAAGATAAGAAATTCCTTTATAAAATGTAAAAATAAAGTTAATAATATTGAGAAAATGAAACATTCTTATGAATGGATTAATGGTGATGAACACGATGAACAGAATTTGGATTTTGATATAATATTTGATAATCCACATCTCATTCGTTTGTATAATGACTTCAATAATTGTTGTGACGACGAATATTCTAATGAGAATCGGAATAAACAGGTTTATGTTTTTGATTTGTAATGATCTTTGATTTCTCATGGTCTTTTGATCTCTAACGGTCTTTGATATAAATAGAATCAGAAAATATATGCCAAAAAGTCTCGAAAAGTTACTATCGAATCGAAGTTCTGACGACATTAATTGACTGACTAATTGGCTGACTGACTGATTGACTGACTGATTGACTGATTGATCTTTTGATTGATCGTTTGACTGACGGCTCGATTGGAATCTGTAAAATTATAAAGATTTATCGTTATTATCGTTATTATCGTTATGTAAATATGTAAATATATATTTGGTTGATTATCATTTGTAATATTGGGCAATATCTTTATTTATTCATTTTTATTGGGTTATCATTATTACTAGTTACTAGTTTTTTTTTTTCCTTTTTTTTTTTTTTTTTTTTTTTTTATAACTATGTACTAGATTATAAGATTATTGAGGTGCTATATAATACTGTAATACTGTAATGGTTTAAATTTTAGAAAGAAATATTATATTTCGCTACATTATTAAAATGTCTACAATCTTTATCTTTTAGTTGAATTATAATACTACTAGACACTTCTTTGTTTTTCTAAAATAGTAAAAATACGATATACTCGACATAAAATACATAATGTTGGACTTTTTTGAATTGCAATTCATGAGGCTGCAATAATCCGTATGAGAATTCTTTTGAGAATTGCAGCGACCTTTGGGTTAAATTAAGAATTCTTATATGTATATACACATCTCAGCTTTATTTATAAAGCAAATGACTAACTCGGCTATGCATTTATTTCCATCTTTAAATCTTAATGTTATTTAAAAATGTATTAGTTTTCCATTTTTGAAATAAGAAAGTTTCAAATCTTTTAACACACTAATATACATGAAAGTTTAACACCCTTAACAGTTAATAAATGTTATATAATTGAAATACTGTTATTTTCACGTGGCTGAGTTATACTTTCGGAAGTAATACCCTTTATATCTGTATATTATACCGATAGCATAAACTTTTAAAGTCCGTGTCACACGTTATCATCAGTAGTTTATCTGTCTAAAATAATTTACTGAGAGCTTATAGGTTCAAAACATTTAAGTCCACAAAAAAAAAAAAAAATTTTTTTTTTGAACGAGCCAGTTAAAACTTAAGAACTTGAATAACTCCATTTAATGAGTTGGTGGTTTTTCCTTTTACTATATGGTTCCTTTTGAAACAAATACTGCTTTATTCATAACTGTAATCCTTAAACTACTGCTTATTGCAGTATTGACTATAATTCAGTACTGTATAAACGCGAAATAATCCCACCTGCGCGTTAATTGATTGACCTGTGCGTTATTTCGAGTACGCCCATGTGCACTATTTCGAGTACGCCCATGTGCACTATTTCGAGTACGCCCATGTGCGTTATTTCGAAATAAGGGGTGAACCTGGATGATTTACTTTAAATATTTAGACTAAACCGCAGAAATCCCTGATACATATATTCGGCTTGTTATTATAAACTGGGTATAAACCGGGTATAATCACTAATTCTTGTAATGCGCGTTAATTTGGGACACTATCAAAATAACGTTATTTTGCGCTTATACGGTACGTAGAAATTTTCTACGCCATGTTAAGAATCAAATTATTAGTGATTATGTAACCTTAATGCAGAATAGAATATCAAATTCTCTTTAAATGTGAACTGATTCAGTCCAGTAAATAATAATCCTCCCGTGATCTTGATATAGTGATCGGGGATTATAAAATTTATCACTTTTGTTCGGATTTCCCAAACAACCAAATTCTTTATTACTACTAAGGATGTAAAGTTTATTAATCAACGATTTAGTTTACAATAGATTAACATAGGGTGCATTTTAAATTTGAGTCGAGTAAAGTATTCTCTTCTAGAATATTCGCTATCTATATAGATATACTGTATTAGTTTGTGTGGCGCAAGAATATTAATATAACAATTGGCTTAAGTAATGTATAGGATGGCAAGAAGGGTGTAATATAATTACTGTATGAAATGTAAAAACTTAGATTTAAAATTTGACCTTATAAAGGATGAATTATAAATGTAAAACTAGCTAATTGAATAATAAAAAGATATTTACAAAAAGAATTTTTTTTTATTTTATTTGCAAAATATCAAAATGCAATGGTAGCAATAATAACAATTGAATTTTTTTTTTTTTTAAACTTATTAATTACATCAATTTTTTCATTATCTAATAAAAGAACTAATATACTTTTCATCTCCAGAATGTATCAAAACCTACAAAAAAAATCAACTAATATCTAAAAATAATCCATCTCCAAACGGTGTTGATTCCGTATCATCCCCACTTCCTAAAGTCGATAAATTCCAATTTTGTTCAATAGTTGGTACAAAACCATAATGATCATATCGATCACTATCTTCATGTTTCAATGATTTCAATACATTTGGTCCTATAAGGACGGTATAAATATGATTATAGTTTGTTAAACTATCCAAATACGTGGATGATTCATCAAACGTTATAACTAGTAGTGTTCTAGAATTAATTAACAATGATTCAATTAATGGAATAAATGTTTCATTCAAGTATCTGCTGGCAAAATTTATGTTCGTTTCATGTCCACTATTGACTACATTAGGTCTAATTAAATATAATTAACATTGTAAAAAATTATTAGATGAACTTATAAAAAAAAACATATGGGCGGATTTGCGTCATTACTACTAAAAATGGTAAAATATTTGACGGTGAATAGCTTTTTATTCACTGATCCGTTTGGGATGATTTTACCACCAAAATGGCCGTCTCGGTGAGATTCTAACGAGCCTAAAATTGTCGAAATCTAATCATGGGATCCCGAGATAATTAAAAGGTTATTTGCTTCGGGTAAAATAGGAATGGGTATAACCTATCCTGTTTTACCCGAAGAAGATAAACTTCAATTATCTCGGGATCCCATGATTAGATTTCGACAATTTTAGGCTCGTTAGAATCGTCTCACTGAGACGGTCATTTTGATAGTAAAATCATTCAAACGGATCAGTGAATAAAAAGTTATTCACCGTCAAATATTTTATCATTTTTAGTAGTAATGACGCAAATCTGCCCATATGAAAAAATAGTTAGCATCTCTATCTATCATATTATTTAAACTTACGAATAAAAAACATATTGTGGAACAGTTCCATCCTCAATATCTTTTTTCAATGTATTTGCATTCACTATGTAAATATATCTTGAAGAATTCGTTCGAATTTGATTCATTGAAATAAATGGATTATGCTTCCGGACATAAAGTTTATCAAAAGAATGACTATCGCTAAATCCATTCCCTAATTCATCATAAACATAGATATTAATAAAGTATTTTATTTTTACGAAATTAGAAAAATACCAAACAAATAAGCTGATAATCGTTTAAGAAAAATCACCAGGATAGTTTACCAGGATAATTTTCCATATAAGCCTTCCATGAAATTCCTTTTTCTTCCAATAAATCTGGAAGTGAAGCACCTTCTACATCTTGATTAAAATCTGTAAGCTAAATATACATAGATTAAAAAAATTAAAAAATGGACTATTTTATTTTAGATTTAATATCTAATATGTTTTGTTTCATATATACCACACCACTTTTTGAAGACCGAATCATTGCTATATAATTCGGTTGCGATGGGTGCCAAATTGCATGATAATTTGAAAGTAATATTCCTTGACTAGCCTATTTAATTTTATCAAAAAAAAACAAGAAATTTTTTTTTTTTAAAGAGGACTTAAAAATGAACGACTTAAAATTGAACGAAGAGAAAATATGAATTACATACAAGATAAACCAAGTAAGGATCTTTCATAGATTCTTCATAATTGGAATTTCCTAACACGATTGTTATAATCCTTTAAAATAATAATTGGATAAAAAAAAGATTAATAACGATTAATGAATTTAAAAGAATGAATTGATTTTTGATATATAATTTTTTTTTTTTTTTTATCATCATTTCATACCGATCAAAATGAATTCCTTTAACTAATTGAGAAGATGTATTAACAAGAAATAGGAAATTAATAATTAACATAAAAAATGTTAAAAGTTTGAAATTATTCAAAATCATGACTGATAAAAATATTAATTCAATGAAAGTTATAAATCCTAGTGTGTTATAAATCCTAGAGAGGAATTTTTAACCACAGTATTTATCATTAAAAGGTGATTCGATAACTATTATCGTAGCACATGAGAAAAATGGTGTAAATAGTGTAAAATGGAGAAAATTGAAAAAAAATGATCAAATGATTGTAGGAGGCTTAGCAAAAAAACTCGATAGTTTTATAATTATTGAGGCGAAAACATTGTTGTGTGACCAATAAATCAAGTAATGACGGATTTATCTAATTAGGAAATATTGCTTCCTTTGGTGCATATATTTATTAAGATCATCCTTTAATAAATTTTTTCCTCGAAAAATTAAATTCTTTGTTACAAAAAAACTTTTGAACTAGACATAGGTTAGAACTCGGTCATCGATTATTAATATCACACTTATGAACAATGAAATATGTAGAAATAAGTGACATGTTTCTACGTATTTCATTGTTCATTAACATGGTATTAGTTGATTAATATCCTAATATCGCTAGATATTGAATGCTACGTATTCAATTTTGATACGTAACTGGAAACAACTGAAGCTGGAAATTGGATCTATTTTAATACGAAATTTTTTTTTAAAAAGTGCCTTTTTTTGCCTTTTTTGATTTAAAATTTTTTTTTATTGTTAGTTGGAATTTAGAGTAAAAGTGGATTTTAGTAGAGCTCGTATTTTTAAAGAGTTCCTTATTTCCAGCTTCAACCATTCCAGCTTTAGCTGCGACATTAATTATTCATTATTAATAAAAGTATATAATATCAAATTAAAAGATTCATAAAATTGCATGCATATGGGCCAATATGTACCTCTATGCAGAAGAGAGAACCCCGTATCTTAAAACTTTTTGATAGTGGAATAGGTTATTTGAAAATGAAATTATCTGACAGACAGCTCATTAGACGATTAACTAGATCATTTTTGAGGTGGAAGGTTTATTTTTAATACTACACAACAGTAACAAATGGTATGTTTCAGTAGGTCCAGACTGATAATCTAATGGGTTTTAAGATAATCTAATGGGTTTAATTCATATTCATTAAATCCTTCTTGCATAATAATGCAGAATGAACCTTCAATAAATCTAATCATTCGTCAAACTAATTAAAAAAAATTGAATAAGGGATTTAAACTAAATTTAGTGGCTCTATTCAGGGCCAGTGTCTGAAATTGGGTTGCGGATCTTGCGGACCGCAAACGATTTATAAGCTCCCGAAACTAAAGTCTGAAATGCATACGCGGTTTACAAATGAATTTTGTGAATTTACATATAGATATATGTTCGAATTTACATATAAATATGTTCATATACACAGCTAAATTCATATAATCCGCAAGTAAAGTTTTTTATTTTTTAAAAGTTGCTGCCCACAACTAATTAAAATTTGAATTTCAGACACCGTTCAGGGCACAATATTTGCCGATTAGCCCATATGGGTTATTTTTATTGTCATGAATTTCATGTGAATACGTAACATTAACTAGACTTGTTGATATTTAATTGGCAGTTCATAGTTAAAGGGAACAAATTTCATAGTAAAAAATCAGCGGGAATTTACTAGTTACCTTATATAGCTATGTGCTCCATTTCTTAAGAAAAAACTCTATAGTAAACAATTGAAAAATACCTATACTTCATGATCTATCCAACTGATTTTGATGATTTTACCACCATTATAATCAGAAAATTGGCTCTACAACTTTTATTATAAGCTAAAAGAAGGTTTATTTAATTAGAGATGGCATCTTATTATTGTAATATACTTGCTTGGCTTAACTAAATATTAAATATAATTATAATAAAATATGTCATTGCCAGTTAAGTCAAACAAATATATTGATTTAACGTATAAGAGTGGTTAAGGAATGCTTTTAAACAAGAAAAACTAATGAAAAGTCTAAAACTGAAACAAAAATACTATAAAATAACTTATTTTTATTGTGTTTTTATAGTAAAATTATTGTTTTTTTATTGATATTTTTGAGTAAACCTTGTTATTTTTGTCTTTTTGTTTAGTTATTTTATAGTATTTTTGTTTTAGTTTAGGCTTTTCTTTAGTTTTTCTTGTTTAAAACATTCTTTAATCACTCTTATATGTTAAGTCAAGTAATATATTTGTTTGACTTAACTGTCGACAACACATTTTATTATTATTATATCTAATATTTAGTTAAGCCAAGCAAGTATATTACAGTAGGTAGAACAAGATTTGGTGGTGGGTATTTGATAGCAGTAGAGAAGATTAGGTTCATGTAATTAGTATTAAATTTGAGTTGATCATATATTGTTCTGCTAAAAAATTTAGCAGTTATAGTTGTAGATATTTCTAGAGTATAAGCTAATTTTATTCTATTAAAATTGAGATGATATCCTGAACAAGGTTTGTAACTAATAGGAGATAATAGATAGCAGTTAGTATTGTTGAGATCAAAATTTGCTTGCCAATGTATAATTGAAACTTCTGTAGTATCAGAGTATTGTTTGTGAATTTTTCCAAAGATAATTTCTTCATCATTAATAGTAATAATCCAAGGCTTAGATCTCTTAAAAATAGAGTATGAGCTGATAGTGAAGATATTGGTTCCTGTAGATTGATACTGATCAAGTAGTATACAGTTATGTTTGTCTGCAAGGACTATATCCTCTAAAGTACTAAACCACAAAGGTAGTTTATCTTTGAGTATATATCTAAGTCTGGGTGATATATGTGTTTATTTTAATAAGTTTATGTTGTCTGCAGAGCAAAGCTGCTCCAGATAAAGAATCTTGTACTTTCTAAGTTGTTGTTTAAAAGTAATATATTTAGGATGTTTGTTAAGAATTGTTTCTAGAGGTTGTAGATTGTATTGAATAGTGTGAGACTATAAAAAATTAGAATTAGCTGTAATATGTATATGAAGGTAAACAAAAAGTTGTATAATTTTGTAGTTAAGTAAAGATCTATTAGGTCTATTAATTATAAGATTAGGGTGTTGCAGAATATTAATGCTAGACCAAAGATTATTCTAGAGTTGTTAGAGCCTGATACGAGTTGTGATGTCTAATGAGTTAGAATCATTAATACGTATAAGAAAGTTAGAAATATGATGTAATTAAATATTCCATATATTCCAGATATTATATAGATATGGATCGAGCATAGTACTGTTTGGAATAGATTTTAAAAGATGTGATTTGTGTTTAGCAACTATAAGATATTTAGCTAGGATATTGTTACATACAGTATAGGAAAAAACTATGTTGTGTAGTCTATATTCTAAAGTTAGAATAATGATGGTATTAATGATATAAGTTATTTGTTTGTTAGTGATTTTTTTGGTGTTGGTAATACAGGTTAGTTGATATGTTTCTTGTTGTATTCGTTTAATTTGTTCTGATTGCTTGTTACTTAATGTAAACCAGCAACCAAGATATTTAAAAAGTTCATTGATAGGTATTGACTTTAATATTAAATTAATGAATGATATAGTAGTAAGTTTGGAATTTGTGGCAAATACAAATTTATTAGGATTGACTTGAAGATTGGCTATTTGGTAAAAAGACTTGGCAGTTGAGGTGATATATTTCATTTCTTCTTTAGAATAAGATATCTATAAGGTGTCATCCATATATACTAATACAGATATAGAGGTTTGAAGATAGAGGTTGTTAGAGAGTGTAAATTTGTTTGCCATTTTATAGATAGAGTATATTCAGAAAACTTGGATATGATTTTATATATAAGAGGGTCATAATAGATTCTCCAAAAAAGAGGAGTTATTGTTTCTTCTTGATCAATACCATTTTGAATCTAGTATATATCAGTAAGATCTAGATTTAAGATAACTATATTGTGTTGGTTGGTAAGCAAATTGGAAAGAGTATCAATAAGTTGCAAAAGCATATTTAAACATAAAAGAGCTTTTCGAAATAGGTTAAGATTGACAGAATTATAGGCTTTATTCATATTCTGGGATATAAATTAAAGATTTTTGGAATTACAGGTAGCATCTTCTATAATATTATTAAGGATATATGGTGCCATTGTAGTAGAAAGAGCCGAAACTCGAAAATATATAATTTTGAGAAAATTGTGTTTATTTTGTTTGGACTGATCTGAGTCAATCAAAAATTCTGTGATTTGATTGGTTAGTTATATCAGATAATTTCGTAATGTACGAATCTTTTAAAAAAAATTTTATAAATATTTTAATTTTTTATTAAGCAAATCAATTTTTATTTATAATCAAAAAATGTAGTCTATCTCAAAATTTATTCAAATCTTACAAAAACTCAATTTTGATTTCCAGGTGAGTTTGGGCTCTTTCTACTGCAATGGCCCCATGTATAGAAATAAAAATGCTATTACCTAGTAAAGCAATATAATTATAGAGAGAAATGATTAGGTATTTAGTGAATATATAGTTGACATAGTTAGTTAGAAACTTAGTATAAAGTTTTTTGGTGTGTTCGAGTAGGCTTATAGGTCTAGTATTAGTAAGGTTACTATCAAAGATGGGTTTTTTA